AGCTCTGCCTTCGCTGCTCCGACGCGCTGGCTCGCTGTGGGGCTCCGCGCTGGCCGCCCGCAGCGTGCGCTCCCGACCTCTCCGACGATCGCCATCCGCACGCACTCCTCGAGCTCGGCCTCCAGCGCGTTGAGCGCCTCCGCCGAGGCCGGCATCAACGCGGTCCCGTTCCGCATCAGCAAGGGCTGGCCGTCGGCCTTCCGCCTCGGGCCCACGCTGACTTGGCTCGTGTACGAGGCATGGCGACGCCTCCGCCATCGGCTCGCGCCTGCGCGCCACTTCGCAGTAGACAGGCGCACGCACGTGCCCTCCCGCGGCCTGCACGTGCCGAAGTGGCTGGGGGGAGGAGGAGGAGGAGGAGGAGGAGGAGGAGGAGGAGGAGGAGGAGGAGGAGGAGGAGGAGGAGGAGGAGGAGGAGGAGGAGGAGGAGGAGGAGGAGGAGGAGGAAGGAGGACGAGGACGAGGAGGAGGAGGAGGAGGAGGAGGAGGAGAGGTAGAACATGAGGACGAGGAGGAGAAAGTTTCTTGGGGCCCTAATGAGACCTCCTGAGGTTCTGCTAGGAGCCTCCAGGGGGGCCTCTTGAGGGCCTCTTGGGGGCCTCCTGGGCCCTGTGGAGGCCCTCTTTGGGCCTCTTGGGCCGTCTTAGGGAGGCGAGTGGCCTATCTGACGTGTTCGGAGGCCGTCTTGGTGGCCTTTCTGGGCAGTTTTGGTGCCCTCTTGGAGCGCTTCAGGGTTGTCTTGGAGCCCTTTTGGGAAATTCTTGGGTGATATTAGGGTCCTTTTGGGCCGACCTGGGGTCTTCTGGGGGCCTCATGGGCTGTCTTGGAGCTCTCTTGGAAGCCCCTTGGGCCGTCTTGGGGTGGTCGGAAACCCTAATAGGCGAGAACCTCCAAATCTTTGGAAAAACCGTCGCAAAATCAATGATTGTGGCCTCCTCGGGCTCTCCTGAAGGGTCTCTTGGAGTCCTCTTGGGCCATCTTGGGGGCCTCTCGGGCTGTCATTGAGGCTGTCTCCAGAGCCTCATGAGCCGTCTTGCGCCATCTGGAGCCGTTTAGGTGTCGTGTTGGGCTGTCTGAGAAGCCGTCCTGCAGGCCATTTTGGCCGTTCGGAGGCTGACAAGAGCACCGGAAAGCAATTTCTGCGGGGACGATGTTCGAACCACGCGTGGAAAGAGGGGGGTGGGCCCTAGAAAATATTAGAACACCTTCCCAGACAGCAGACGAGCATTTGAGCACGCCTTCTCCGTGCTGGCACGGTGGCGGGCTAAGGAATCTTGCGTAAATAGTCCTTACTAAGGAATCCGTCGTTAAGAACCCTGACTCAGGAATGTCTAGCCGCTAGTTTTCACAAAGGACTCCTTTGCAAATAGTCCTTACTGAGGCATCCTGAGCACATCATCCTTACCAAGAAATCCTTCGTGAAGAGTCCGTGGTACTTAATCCTCACGGTTAGGTGAGTAATTTGGTAGTGAAAATTCTGACCAGGTGGGGCATGGGTTAGTGGTGGTGGGGGCGTGGATCGTTCTACCCGCCGCCTGAGACGACGGCCGTCATATCCCCGCCGAGTCCGCCGCGCTCACCACGGGCCATCCGTTTTTGGATGTTCCGCCAGCCATGCCGCAGGCTGCTGGAAAGCTCGGGCTCCGTGAGATGCACTGCGGGAACCCACCCCGTGGGCTGCTGGAGCCCACGCCGTGGGCTGCCTGAGAACCACTGTCTGAACAGCTGTTCCTCGCAGAGCATGGTGCTGGAACCCACGCCGCGGGGCCTGCTGGAACCACCGTCCCTCGTAAAACATGTGCGCTGGAACCCATCTGTCCTGAAGGCATGAGGCGCTGGAACCACTATCCCATGTAAATACTGGGCACTGGAACCGACGCTGTGGGGCGCTGGAACCACCGTCCCTCGTAGACAGTGTGCGCTGGAACCCATCTGCACGATCCCCTGGAAATGCTGGGCGCTGCAACCGACGCCGTGGGGCGTCGGAACCACCGTCCCTTGGTACAACGTGGCGCTGGAGTGCATCTGTCTTGAAGGCCCGAGGTGCTTGAACCATTATCCCTCGTAAGTATTGGGCGCTGGAACCTCACCCCGTTTAGGGTTACCAACGTATAAATAGGGTGGGGGGAGGGGTGGGAGACGGGCCCGAGGGCGGGGGGGTCCTACAGGCCTTGGAAGAAATTAGCGAACATTCATGCCGCATTATTTGTCAATGCCCCCCCGAATGATCAATGTTGGAGGCGGTTTCAATGAGCTGCACTTCGACCGCAGTCTTCCCCGCGCCAACTTTGAGTTTTGGGGAGCGGGGCGGTGTCCACTAATTGTTTCCTTCTACCGTAGCATTGTAGTCACGCCTTGTTCCTGTTTGCACGCGCTGGTGCGCGTGCGATATCTCGGTCGGTCGGTCCAGTCGTCGGTCGGTCGGTCGGTCCGGTCGTCGGTCGGTCGGTCGGTCGTCGTTCGTCGTCGTCTCGGTTGGTCGGTCGGTCGGTCGGCCGGTCCCGTCGTGGGTCGTCGGGGTGTCGGTCGGTCCGTCTGTTGTCGTCGTTCGTCGTCGTCTCGGTCTGTCGGTCGGTCGGTCCGTCTGGTCGTCGGTCGTCGGTGGGTCGGTCCGTCGGGCGTCGTTCGTCGTCTCGGTCGGTCGGTCGGTCGGTCGGTTCGGTTGTCGGGTGTCGGTCGGTCGGTTGATCCGTCGCTCGCCGTCGTCGGTCGTCGTCGTCTCGGTCAGTCCGTCCGTCGGTCCGTTACTCGGTCGATCGGTCGTCGTCGGTCATCGGTCGTCGGTTCTCGGTCGGGTGGTTGATCCGTCGTCGTCGTCGGTCGTCGGTCGTGTCGGTCGGTCGTCGTCGGTCGTCGTCGTTTTCGTCGTCGGTCGTCGTTCGCAGTTGCCGGACCCGACGCCATGGCCCTCCTTTAAGTCGCGCCTCTTGGGCCCAATTGGCAACGGATGCGATGGCGATGAAAACATGACACATACTCCCCTGACGCTTCCGATACGTGCATGCGTACGCGCTCTAAAATTTCACGACCAACAATATTCACCTGACTGAGGTAAAGAACCCTTACGAAAGAGTTCCTTAGTACAGAGTTCTCATTCAATAATCCTTCGTAGATAACCATTTGTGAGGACTCATCCGTACATAACCGTTACGGAGGAATCCTCACAAAACCCATACTAAGGACGAGCCCTTACTAAACAGTCTTTAGTAAATAGCCCTCGCTAAGGAATCTTTTGGTAAAGAGTTCATAGACGGAATCTTTTGTACATGCTCCTTATTACGGAAGCCTTGAGGCCCTTCGCGAATAATCTTTATGAATGAATCCCTCGTACAGAATTCTCATTCAGGCTTCCGTCGTAGTGAATCCTTATTAAGGAATCCGTCGTACATGCCCCTTACTGAGGTGTGCCTGTTGTGCATTGCCTTGTGTTCCTTTGCATTGTTTGCCTCGCTTTGCCGTGCTTTTGACCACATAGGCTGCACCACGTGGATTGCACCACCTAGGTCTCGCAACGTTGATTGCGCCACGCAGATTGCGCCGCATATATTGCAAGAGCTAGCTGGTGTGGACCCGCGATGGCTAAGATTTTCATACGGAACTCATGTCGTGTTCGAGGTGTACTGTGCCGACCGCTAATGTGCCAGCGGGAGCAGGAGCAGCAGGAACAGGAGGACGAGGGAGACTCAGCAGGAGGAGGACGAGCAGTAGTAGTAAGAGCATGAGCAGATACTGCAGCAGCAGCAGGAGGAGCAGGACGAAGAGGAGGAGGAGGATGAGGGGGAGGAGGACCAGTGTTGACCCAACGCGCATCAACGATTTTGCAAACTACTGTCCCTTCAAGTTTCTCTTTTCAGAGGTCCCCAAAAGATTTTCGTTCGTTGCGGGAAATGCCCCCTTGGAAGGCAACCGTCTGATAATCAGTGTTCGTGCCAAACACACGTTTCTGTGACTTCAGCGCCGCAAATCAACGTGACTGTTGCGTCCTGGAAATCCTAGATCGGGCCCGAGCACCGTTCTTCGGACGTCAGCACCGCGAAGCAACGTGACCTGTTTTGTCCTGACAATCCTGAACCAGGCCCGAATACCCTTCCTCGGAATTTGCTTGTACGAACCCTTGAAACTGCAGCAGCAGTTAAATTATAATGCGCGTGGCGCTAAGGCGATGGCAATGTTTTGAACACCAGTCGCCCTCCATCCTAGAAACTTGTGCAACCTTTCAAGACGAATGCGCGCGGCGCTAAGGCGCGAGCAGCATTTTGAAACCTAGCCCGCCTCAATCCTTGAATCAGGCAGATATGCGCGGCGCTATGGAAATAACCACATTTTGAGAACCAGCCGCTCTCCATCCCTGAAGCTGTTGCACATTTCAAGCTCCAGGATCGTACATGGCGAGGAAGTCTCAGGCTGAACGCCAGGGGGGAGCGACAGGGACGGCAGGGAATGCCGACATGTCTGGAGGTGCGACACGGAGGAGCTATGGAAGGACAGCAGGGGATGAGGTTGCGGAGGAGGCTGCGGAGGAGGCGGAGGAGGCGGAGGCGGAGGAGGAGGAGGAGGAGGAGGAGGAGGAGGAGGAGGAGGAGGAAAGAGGAGGAGGAGGAGGAGGAGGAGGAGGGAGGGGGAGGAGGAGGAGGAGGAGGAGGAGGAGGAGGAGGAGGAGGAGGAGGAGGAGGAACTGCGTGGGGCGAGCGCCTCCCTCCCTCCCTCGCACACCCCTTTGGTGCCCCTCCCTCTTCCCGCCCTCCCCCATCGTCTCCTTTGTTTTCTCCCACCCCTCTCTCTTCCTCTCCCGCCTCCTCCTCCTTCCCTTCACCTTCCCCCTCCCCGTTTCCCACCCTCCTCCGCTTCCCCCCCCCCATGTCCTCTCCTCTTTCTGCTTCCCCTCTCCCTCCTCCTCCTCCTCCTCCTCCTCCTCCTCCTCGTTCTCCTCCTCGTCCTCCTGCCCCTCCCACCCTCCCTCTCTTCCATCCTCCCTTCCCCGTCCTCCCCGCCCGCAACAGACGAGAGCGTGAGCGCGGCTGCCTCGCTCCGCAATCAGCGCGACATCGTCGACTACGTTGTGGTGGAGCACGCGCCCTGGGCGCTGAGGCTCATAGAAGGCCTCGGCGGCGGAGAGAAGGACTGAGACATCTGGCATGTGAGAAATACCTGGACATCCAGTTTTTCGTCGTTTTTGGCCTCCAGGTGCCTGTTTCGGGCCCCGGGGCCGTCAACAAAAAGAGCGGAATGAAAAGCTGGCCTCAAGAAAGTGGTCGAGAGGTGTCGGGGCGCATGTCGCAAACATTTCGAGTATCCATTCGCCTGAGGAATAGGATTGAGAACCGAGGGTCGATTCTGTCTTGCGTTTGATTTGCATATTTTTCGGCTTTCCTGCGGCTTCCTCGTCGCAGCCGCTGGATTCCTATGGAAGTTCAGGCCAGAACGCACCTCTGGAGAGGTCTGGGGGCCGATTTTCAGGGCCGCCATCGTGGGAGGGAGGATCAATGTTCTTTGGACGTTTTTGGCTCTTCTGGGCTTCCGAAGCCCCTCTTGTCGTGGTCGGTGGTTTCGTCGTCGCAGTCGCCTTCCTCTGTCGTCGTCATAGTCTTCGTCGGCGTTGTCGTCATCGTCGGTTGTCATCGTCGTCGTCTTTGCCGCCGCCGCCGTCGTTCCTCGTCGTCGTCGTAGTCGTCGCGTCTCCACCATCGTTCTTCGTCGTCGTAGTCGTCGGCGTCGGCGTCGTCGTTGTCGTCGTCGTCGTCGCCTTGTCGTCGTCGACGTCGTCGTCCTCGTCGTCGTCGTCGTTGTCGTCGTCGGCGTCGGAGATGGCGGCGGCTTGTCTGTTTGTTTTTGTTGAACTCTCACTTCTGAAGAGCACGTATGGTTGATCCCCCTCTCTGGTGCCCATGGCTTCTCTTATTGAAATGCACCCCTCGGGGTTCGCGCCCTTTTTTGATCAGGGAGGCTCTTGTGTTGGCCCCCAGACTTATTTGGATACTTCCTCGCAGTTCAATCCAAGATCGTGCTCCCGCCCGAGACTGCCACACAGTTTGCGCACGCATCCCGCGCCCGCTCAGGACTTCCCCGCAGTTCACGGAGGCGCTGCGCTCTCGACGTCAAGGAAAATCGCGCTCCCGCACGCGACGTCCTTACCATTTGCTCCGGACTCGTGCTCTCGCCGGAGGTTCCTTCATTCTCGGGGACGGAAAAGAGGGGGGTGATGACTAGGGGGGGGCGGATATCATGGCGGGGGCCATGATATTTCCCCAGATTTCATGGCGCCTCTTCTTATTTCATTACGTCCCTGGCCCCGCCGCTGGGCCGCGCACATGTCGCCAGTCATGATTTGCACCCCCCCCTCTTGGACACCCCCCTCTTTGCCGCCCCCGACATTCTCATCTTCACAAAGCCTGAAGTTCGTTTCAGTTCTTGTTAGGACCGCCCGTTGGGGTCCGCCCACCAGACCTGCCCGCCGGGGTCCGCCCGCCTGATCCGCCCTTTGGGGCCAGGCCACCCGACCCGCCAGTCGGGGTCATCTTGCCAAATCGATTCTTCCTCTCTCCTCCAGCTCCTGCTAAATTTAAGTCGGGCATGTCCCTCTACATGAGGAGTATTCAAGAATAGGAAACAATAGTCAGGTGACGATGTTTTTTGTCTTCCAAAACCGGCCTGTAGGAGAACGTGCCCGACCTAATGCTAAATCTTCTTCGCCCTCAATCATCACTCATCTTCCCTTCCTCTTGCCCCTCCGTTTGCGTTTCCTCCTCCTTTCCTCGCTCTCTCCCTTTTCCTTTCCCCTCCTGGCACCTTTCTTCTGTTCTGTCGTCCTAGTCACGAAAGCTGCCTCCCTCCCTTCAAAATCTCCACGCGGGACCAACCGCTGGAGTAATTGTTGTATGTTCGCATGTTTGCAGGCCGCTGAAACTATTGGGGCCGAAGTGCAGCGACTTAACACATTCATTTTGCATTCACTGAGCCCGATCACAACGGCTATTTCAGAATACGCGGTGGCCCCGTACGATCATTTACCCAGTCTTGAATTTGTTAATGCACATTGAGAACCACAGAGCGCATTGGAACGCAGCTTTGTTACCGCAGCCAAAAGGGCGAACCACAACCAGTTCTGATCCGCCCCTTCTCGTTGCGATCATCCCCTTGTGGTTGCGATCGGCCCAGGTTGCCGGGGCATGCAGGAAGGGGAGAAGGATGCGGAGGATGAGGGTGAGGGAGAGGAGCGGGAGGATCCGATCGAAGGTGCCCCGGCAGCTTCTGGAGCCAAGCCAGGAGGATGAGCTTGTGGTTGCGATCGGCCCAGGTTGCTGGGGCATGCAGGAAGGGGAGAAGGATGCGGAGGATGAGGGTGAGGGAGCGGAGCCAAGCCAGGAGGAGGAGGAGGAGGATGAGGAGGAGGAGGAGGAGGAGGGGAGGATGAGGTGAGGGTGAGCGGGAGGATCCGAGGGTCGAAGGGAGCGGAGCCAAGCTCAGCCTCCTCCTCCTCTACTCCTCCTCCTCCTCCCTAGTAAGTGCCCCTTCCCCCACTCGAGTGAACGCCGACCCAGGGCTAATGCCCCCCTCCCTCTCCACCACCTCTGTGAAGCACAGAGCGCCGTCTTTCAGCTGGCCACCACGCCGTCACTCGGCATCCGTTTTCTGGCGCACGGGGCGCGCGCGCGTCGCGCACGTGGCGCGCGTCGGGCACGCTCGGTGCACGCTCGGTGCACGCGTCGCGCGTGGTGCACCTGGCGCGCCAGGCACGCCTGGCGTGCCGAGACGCCGGGCGCACCTCGCGAGCCAGGCGCACCCGGGTGTCCATCGGGTGGCGGCCGCCGCCCGGGCCCTGCGCTGAGCCTCGGGTGCCGCTCGTGTGCCCCGAGGGCGGACGGGAGTGCGCGAGACGGGTCGCGGCGTTCCCGCCTGGAACCCGACGACCCCTCACCATTGCTCGTTCCGGCTATTCTTCTCCACGTCCACGCTGCCCCCCCCCCTCCCCCTCCCCGCTCCCTCCGCCGTCTCCTTCCACTTCCCCCTTCCCCCTCTTCTCGCTTTTTGCTCCCCCTTTCCCACTCCCTGCCCACTCCCTCCCTCAGCGCATCAGCGCATGCCTCTTCACTATCCCCCCTCACTGCCATCCTCTCCCGTTGCCCCCCTCCCACTCCCCTCCCCCCTCCCTTTCTCCCCCTCCCTCTCGTCTGATGAGAAGGAGGAGGAAGGATGGGAGGTCTCCTGCCTCCTTCTCCTAGAAGACGCTCGAACTCCCTATATTCCCCGATCGCCTCAAGGCCTCCTCGCTGTCCATGGTCTGCAACCTCGGACCCGGATGCTTCCGACAGCAACAGCCAGCCTCACGAACACTAGCCGACAACCTGGGAATATTGAAGAGTCGGCGAGAAGCGTCTGAACGGCTCCGAAGACCTCTTCCAAAGGGAGCCGCCGCCGCGAGGAGGAGGAGGAAGAAAGAGGAGGAGGAGGGGGAGGAGGAGGAGGAGGAAGAGGACCAGGAGGAAAAGGAGAAGGAGCAGGAAGGAGGAAGGAGGAGGAAGGATGAGGAGGAGGAGGAAGGAGGAGGAGGAAGGAGGAGGAGGAAGGAGGAGGAGGACCAGAAGGAAAAAAGGAGGAGGAGGAGGAGGAGAAGAAGGAGGAGGAAGCAGGAGGAGGGAGGAGGAGAGGAGGAGAAGAGGAAGGAGGAGGAGGAGGAGGAGGAGGAGGAGGAGGAGGAGGAGAAAAAGAGGAGGAAGGAGGGAGGAGGAGGAGGAGGAGGAGGAGGAGGAGGAGGAGGAGGAGGAGGAGGAGGAGGAGGAGGAGGGACGGCGGCGGCGACGACGACGGGAACCGCCGTCGCGCAGGCTTGCGGGGCAAGGACAGGCGGCGTCAGCCAAGGCTCGGCGGCTTGCAGAAGGGGGTGGCGCGAGGTCGGTTGCGGCTTTCGAGAGTCGAAGGGAACTTGCATACGCATACAGTGGAAGCCCATGCCAAGAAATACCCTGGCTGCCTCCAGGGTGCCCTAATTTTTTTTGCGGGGGGGGGTCGATGGCTTTTCCATCTACAGCGTGACGTTCCCACACCAAAAAGCAATCGACGTCCTGGGGTCTCAGGGTTGGGTTTCTGTTGTAAGATTGCTTGTGGTCGAGCTCCTACCGTAAACTTTCAGGGGTCCGCACTGGATTCTGGGACCGGCGCGGATTATTGGGCACCGCCAGAAGGGGGAGGGGATTCTTGCCCCTAACCACTGAATCCCCGTGGGCCTCAGAAGTTTGTTTTGTTGGTGTTGCTGCTGCCGTTTTTCTGTCCTATGGGCAGGGGGCGTCTCAGGAGGGGTCGAAGGCTCCTGGAGAGCCCGCTCCTCGCCTCGACACCCTTCCTGCTCGGGTGCTGCCAACGACTGTCTCTGGCCCGAGGTGCCCCCCTGGGATTCTCGGGGAGGCCCCCCAGGGGCATCCACAGCTCCCCACCCCTGGGGGGGCTTGCAGGCCCACAGGGGCTCCAGAATGGCATGTAGCCCAGAGATCCGACGGCGTGATCTTTTCCATGCGGGCTCCCCGGGAGTCTCGTTTTCCATCTGGCGTCGTCTTTTGACAGCCTCGGGGCCCGGCGAGGGCCCCTGGAGGCCGAACGCTGTGAAAAACCTCCGCGCTGATTTTTCCAACGCGTTGGATCTCAGGGACGGCCGGGGACACGTCGGGCCAGGAGCGCTCCTGTCGGGTCGGACGACAGAGGGGGGGCATCGGGCACTCGGCTGCGGACGCGGCCGCGTGCCGCTGGCCTCGACCCCACCCCAATGGGCACGGCCCTCCTCTCGACACCCCAGCGCTTCCTGGCGCCTGACGGGTGACCGGCTGCGCGAGCTGACTCGCTGATTCGCTGATCTCCTCCTCGCCCTTCTCCTTCTCTTCCTCCTCCTCCTCCTCCTCCTTCTCCTCCTCCTCCTCCTCCGCCCTCCTCCTCCGCCCTCCTCCTCCGCCCTCCTCCTCCTCCTCCTCCTCCTCCTCCTCCTCCTCATCCGCCCTCCTCCCTCCGCCCTCCGCTGCCCCCCCTTGTCGGGACGACCGAGCTGGTAGGGCAGGTTCGCATCTCAGGGGCAACAGTAGGGGGGGATACGCACAGGCCGGGATGCATCGACCCCCAATCGCCCACTGATCGCCGATAGGGGCCCGATAGCCCCAACCTGCCCAGGAGCGTGCGGATCCACTACGGGGGCCTATCGCCGAGCTATCGGCGATGTATCTCCGATTCCAGGTCGATGTTTTCCCCCCCATCGTGTCGACCGGCGGCGACCCGCCGCTGGCGTTCAATGTTGAGCGCCGCGGGCGACCCAGAATCGGTTGATGTTGAACGATCGGAGGTTTCGGAAACGGCCGATCGTTCAAGTTTGAACGATCCCCGCGGTGTCAGGAACCAACGCTGGGGTCGACACGACACGAACCCACGGTACGGAAAGAATGGGTACAACGACCGATTGCATGTCCTGCTCATTTTGAGCAGGACTCGCTGTCGGTGTCGCTGCGGACGTTGTCCATTTGGCACAGAAGGCCGCCTGCCCAACAGCGGCTGCTGTTGGTTTTGGACAACGTTTTCTGTTGGGTATTGCCCATTTGCTAGGAGGCAAGTCCTGGGAGGTTATACTCTGTATCGGCGCTGGTATTTCCGTGGTCGATAACCGGCTTAATCTGACCTAATCTGGCGTCATCCAGCTTAATCCCGCCGAATCCAGCTTGATCCGGCTTAGTCCGGCTCAGTCTTGGACTTAATCTGGCCTGATCCGGGCCTCGCTTTCTGACGCTCTGGCGCTCCGGCGCCACACCCGCAGCACCCCAGCCGGTGCCCACGTGCGGGCGTGCTTCGTGGTTCGTGATCTGGTGAGATGGCCCTTCGATCGGGCCTCATCGTCGTCAGTGCTTCCAACGGCGGGCCTCCCAGGAGCTGCCTCCCGACATCCGTTCCGTGCCAAGCTCGGTCGTCCAGACCTGGCGTCCAGCCCGCATAGGAAGGATGAGCGACTTTCCAAGGTTGCCACCCTTGCGTCCTGCCCCTTCGGCCCATCCCTGGCCGCTTTCGCTGGCCGCGCCCCGCTCGCAAGGTGTCGACATGGCCTTCCAAGGCCCTTGCATCCTTGCCCTGCGTCCGCATTAGTTGTACGGGTTGACCGTACCCATCTCGGGCGTCCTGACCTCTCCTCCGACCCGGTCCTGTCAGCCCCCCTCCTGCCCGCGCTCCGCCGGGGTGAGGCAGCACCTGGAGATCCTGGTGCGCTTCCTGCAGTCCCCGGGCGTCGCGGAGGTCTTCGGGAGGAGCGCGGGCCGCCGCGGCGCCGCCGCGCTTTTTGGCCCCGCGCCCCCCGCGGGCCCCGAGGGTCAATTGGAGGAACATGCGTCGGTACTGCTAATTACCCTTCCCGCGTCTTCGCCTTTTTTGGGCCTCCTGGGGCTTCCCTCGTCGCCAATGCTGGATTTGCTTCGAATTTGTAGTCAGAACCTGGGGCTTCCTGGGGCTTCCTGGGGCTTCCTGGGGCTTCCTGGGGCTTCCCTCGTCCCCAATGCCAGGGGCTTCCTGGGGCTTCCTGGGGCTTCCCGGGGCTTCCCTCGTCCCCAATGCCAGGAGAGGTTCGGGGAGCAGCGGTATCGGTGTCTTCTTCTGGTTTCCCCACGGGAGGAGGGATGGGGCAGTGTACGCAGCCCTGGTTTGGGGGTCGCTGCTCCTCCTCCTCCTCCTCCTCCTCCTCCCTCCTCCTCTCCCTCCTCCTCCTCCCCCTCCTCCTCCTCTCCCCCCTCCTTCTCCCCCTCCTCCTCCCCCTCCTCCACCTCCTCCCCCTCGTCCGTGTCCCCTCCTTCCTGTATCTCCTCCCCGCGCTGCTGCTGCTGCGCCTCCTCCTCCTCTTCGCTCCTCCTGGGGATCAGGAGGCAGCCGGACTGCACTTCGGCCTCGCGCAGAGGGGGGTCTGGGGGAGGGGGGAAGGCTTCTTCGAAGCACCCCTGCCTCTTCTAAGAATCCTTCCCCCTCCCCCTACCCCCCTCTGCGCGCCGCCAATGTACTGGAGATAGTCTTTCCCGTTTTCTTCCTGTGTTCTTTTTGCCCCTGATGGGGCCGAGGCCCACTGCAGCAGCTGGTTTTCACGGCGAGAGCTTCAGAGCGGTGGCGCTGATGCCCTGGTCGGTCCTTGTGCGGGCCACGCCGCAGCTCGAGAGCCGACTCGGACGAATTGCAACGAATGTGCAGTACGGTCGGCCCGAGGTAGAATATTGAGGTCTGCTCGAGGAGGGTACCCCAATGTTTTTCGTGCTTGTTGGATGTTCTTGTGCATCCTGGGGGAGGGTGCCCTCAGTGTTTCCTTCAGTTTGGCGGGCGGAGGGTCTGAAGGATGTTCTGCTGTCCTAGGCCCGACCGTAACACGGGTAAGACAGGGGGAGGGACGCGCACGCTTCTCGGGCGCACGTGGGCGTGGCAGGAAGCCACTCCACCGATCGAAGTAAGCTCAAGTAGACGGCAGGCTGAGCGATGCCGTCAAGGGTCAACCCTGGAAGGCGGGCGCGTGATCCCACCGGCCGGCCTCACAGAACAGGACACGAGTCCAGACGACGCGGGGCCAGCAATGATGAGGGCAAGGAGGGCCGCGCACAGCGAAGAGAGAGAGAGAGAGAGAGAGGAAGCGAGGAGCCAGGGAGCGAGAGCCGACAGCCAACGTTAGGGGGGGGAGGGGGAGAGGGGCGCGGCACGAGAGAAAGCGAGGGAGAGGGAGTGGGGAGGGGCGAGGGGGGAGGGGCACGTGGGGGGGGAGGGGGAGAGGGAGAGGGGGGGAGAGAGAAGAGGAGCCAGGAGCGAGAGCCGACAGCCAACAGTAGGGGGGGAGAGGGGGAGAGGGGCGTGGCACGAGGGGACGGCGGGCCGACCGACGGGGGGAGGGGAAGCCGCGGGGAGGAGGGGAGGGCACAGCACCACGAGGGGCAGGGCGGGGCGCGGGGAGGGGAGGGGGGGAGCCTGGGGGGCTCCTCCTCCTCCTCCTCCTCCTCCTCCTCCTCCTCCTCCTCCTCCTCCTCCTGAGGCCATGCGCCTGCCTTATGTGGCACGGCGCTCGGGCAGAAGCGCGCGCACACGCCTTGAGAGAGCTGCAGGCGCCCTGCGCTCTCGTGGGCCTCCAACAGGCCAGCGCGAAGACGGGCGAATGCGCCAGCTTGTGCACTGTTTCCGTCGGCGGCGAGGCAGAGGCAGTCCGCTCCAGCGTGTGGCTATGCAGAAACCAACCTGTGCACACACACACACACACACACACACACACACACACACACACACACACACACACACACACACACACACACACACACACACACACACACACACACACACACACACACACACACACACACACACACACACACACACACACACACACACGCTGGGCCAGTGGCAGTTCAGGGCGGCCGCGCTTGCGGACCACGTGCCGCTGTCTTGGCGCAGTGCTCCCTGGCTCGCGGGGTTCGGACAGGTGGTCGTGGGCGGCGTCGGGGGCGGCGTCGGACGCGCAGTCGGGCAGTGTGCCGTGCAGGCCGCAGGAAGGGCCGTCGGGGAAGAGTGCCGGGAAGGGTGCTCGGGGAGGCCGTCGGAAACGGCCTCGGGAACGGCGTCGGCTGCGGCCAGCGGCGCCGGATGCGGCGACGGGTATGGCGTCGGGAGGGCCGTCGGGTAGGCTGTCGGGTTGGGCCGTCGGGAGGGCCGTCGGGAAGGCTGTGAGGAAGGTGGTCGGGCAGGCCGTCGGTCCGAGAACGGCGTCGGGTGGGGCATCGGGCGAGGCGTCGGGCAGGGCGAAGGGTGGGCCGTCAGAGAAGCTGTCGGGAAAGGCGTCGGGTACTGCGTCGGGTGGGGAGCCAGGGAGGGGGTCAGGAAAGCCGTCGGGAGGGTCGTCGGGAAGCGGGGCGAGAAGGTGGTCGGAGAGGCTGTCGGGAACGGCGTCGCGGCGACGGGGATGGCGCCAGGTAGGTCGTCGCGTAGGCTGTCGGGTTGGGCCGTCGGGAGGGCCGTCGGGAGCGGGGTCGGGGAGGTAGTCGGGGAGGCCGTCGGTCACGGCGCCAGGAACGGCGCCTGGCAGGGTGTCGGGTGAGGCGCATGCCGTTCAGGAGATCGATCCCGCGTCATGCTCTGCAGAGGTGTACGCGCTGTTCATGAAACGACGCTTTCCTTAAAAAGGCGATTTCCTTTCGCTCCGACGCAGGGTCTGCCCCAGTGGTTGCGTGGGCAGTCCAGAAGCATTTCGTGGATCAGCGTATGTTCTCCGGGGATGTATTCTTTGGTGGGTCCTGTGGGCGGCATGCAATTAAGGAAGTAGTAGGGTTCGTTCGGGCTGAGCATTGTTCAGTGCTGACAGGGTGCTACCACGTTCCCCCAAACCTCCCAGGGTGCCGAGTTTGGGAGCCTCGCCTACGGTGGCTTTGTTTACAGGGCCCAGCAAAGGGTTACAACGACCGCCTCAACGTTTGTACAGCGGTTCTGGTCTACCCGTGCCAAGCAGCTGTCTTATGAACGTTCCTATGCGGACCTGATTAATTCTCTCGGTTCTGGTCTCACGGCCCTCCTAGCCCATGTGGCCGAATCGGTCGATTTTTCGCCAGAGCAATGTTTCATCAATGAAGGGAACGACCTGGCGGATCTGGCTGCCAACTCGGGGGCAGCCAAGCACCCGCGGGCGTCTCAAGGAGAGTTGGACCACCTGAATTGGCAGCTTAAGGTTTCACGCAACGTTTCCCGCCTCGCCGCGAAGCTCCTGCCTTCCTGGCCGAGGCTCGATTTCGACGGTCTTGAACGTATTGCGCATGTCAAGCCCTCTCGCGGGATTTCCCTCGGACTAAGTACGGCCCATCATGAGTGGGCTTTGTGCAGAATGTTCTGGCATTGACTTGTCTGCCTTCGTTTCCGCCAGAACATTGACTGTCAGGGAACGTGGGCAATGCGTTGTGGGCCTCACGTGCAGAAGCGATTCCGTGCGTTGCTACGGTTTCCCTAACGGAGGGCAGTTCAAGAAGTTGCGGTGGTTGCGGAGGCTCGATGCCAGGGGAACTCTCGGGAAGGACGGTGCCTCCGCAGCCAGATCTCTCCGCAACGACAAGCATCCGACGCTCCCAGGAGTCTCGTGCGACAGTTTTCGACCCAGACACGGTCGGGGCCGGCTCGGGAAGGGAAGGTTGGCAGGCGGAGCGTACTGACCAACTCGCAGAAGGTCTGCATTCCGAGTAAGGGAGGCCGAACAAGATCTTGGCCAGCTTCCTTCAGGAGGGTCGGGCTAACCTGCCTCGGACAGGTCAGCCAGTCCGTTCCCTTCTTCAACCCGAGACTCGGGTTTCAGGGCGTCCGTCAACAACAACATCTTGGCGAAGGACCCGACCGTACGCACCTGTGAGTGACGCAGTGGTGAGTGCAGTGGGAGCCCATGCCAAGAAACACCCTGCTTGCCTCCAGGGTGCCCTGGCTTTCTTGGGTTTCGATGGTTTTGCCATGGAGTACGTGACGATCCCATATACGAATCAATGGACGTTCTGGGTCTCAGTGTTGGGTTTCTTGTGGAAGGTTTCTTGTGGTCGAGCTCCTACTGTATCGTCTTCGATGGAGCCCCCTGTGGGGCCACGAAGCGTGTGAGCGGTGCGCCGGAACGCGGGCGACAGTCACATGCGACCCTGCCACAGTCGGCCACGCGCAGAGATGGTCGCAGAGAAGGGGAAACAAATAACCAAACATTGAATCAACAATAACAAATGGAACAGCAGCTTAAAACATAGGGAAGGGGAAAGGCTTCTTGGAAGGAGGCTGCTTCTTAGAGGGCGCGGGCCGCAAGAAGCGAAGCCTTCCCCCTCCCCCTGCCCCCCACTCTGCGCGCCGCCAACACGGGGGCCTTCGGTGGAGCTCCTTGTGGGGCCACGCATCGTGTGAGGGGTGTGTTGAAATTGGTGTGACGCACAAATATGGACATTGCCTCTTGGGCCCTCGGTGGAGCTACCTTTAAGCGTAGGAGGGGAGTGCCAAGACCTGCATGACGCCCACCACATGTGGACGGTGCCTCTGGGGCCTTCGGTGGAGCTCGCTATGTGGCCAGTAAACGTGTGAGGGGTGCCGAATCGGGTGTGACGCCACCATGTGCACGGTGCCTCTGGGGCTTTCGGTGGTGCCCCCTATTGGCCGAAGAAGTGTGTGAGGGGTGTGCCGAAATGGGCATGCGGATGGCAAAGGTAGGGATGGGAGGATGGAAGAGGGGTGGGAGTGAGGTGACGCGGGGCGTCGTCTCTTCAAAGCGAGGGCACAACACCTCAGAAAGAGCGCGTTCTACCGCTGCTGGCGGAAAACCGGGGGGGGTCACTACCGGTTCGAACCCCCCCCCCCCCCCCCCCTCCGGAAAACCGGGGGGGGTCACTACCGGTTCGAACCCCCCCCCCCCCTGCTCATCATGAAAAAGGGGGGGGGGTCACTACCGGTTCGAACCCCCCCCCCCCCCCTCCGGATCCGGAAAACCGGGGGGGGTCACTACCGGTTCGAACCCCCCCCCCCCCTCGAAAACCGAGTGGGGGTGCGGACAGTGGTGGGGACGGTGTTGGTGGGGACAGTGGTGAGGGGATAGCGGGACAGTGGTGGGGACAGTGGGACAGTGGGACAGTGGTGGGGACGGTAGTGGTGGGGACAGTGGTGGGGACAATGGTGGGAACAGGGGGGGACAGTGGACAGTGGTGGTGACGGTGGTGGTGGGGACAGTGGTGTGGGGACAATGGGAATGAGGTGGAAACAGTGGGACAGTGGAGGGTACAATGGTGGTGGGGACAGTGGTGAAGGCGGTGGCGAGGACGGCGGTGGGACAATGGGACAGAGGTACAGTGGGGACAGTGGTGGGGACAGTGGGGACAGTGGTGGGAACAGTGGGACAGCTCAGTGGGACAGCGGAGGAGTCAGTGGGACAGTGGGGACAGTGGGGATAGTCGGGCAGTGGTTGGGGCCGTGGAGACAGTGGGGAGAGTGGAACCGTGGTGGGAACAGTTCTGGGGACAGCGGGGACAGTGCGACAGTGGTGGGGCCACTGGTGGGGACAGTAGGGGCGGTGGTGGAACCAGTGGGGACAGCGGTGGTGAGGACAGTGGTGCTGGGAACACCAGTGGGGGATGTGATGCGGACGGTGGTGGGGACCGGGAGTCGTTTGCTGGCGGTGAGTAGGGGGGGGGGGGGGGGGGTTCGAACCGGTAGTGGCCCCCCCGGTTTTCCGGATCCGGAGGGTGGGGGGGGGGGGGGGGGGAGGGGTTCGAACCGGTAGTGACCCCCCCGGTTTTCGAACGGGAGGGGGGGGGGGGGGGGGGGGGGGGTTAGGGGAGGGGGGGGTTTTGCCGGAGGAAGGGGGGGGGGGGGGGAGGGGTTCCAGCAGGGGGGGGGGATTTTTGGAGGGGGGGGGGGGGGGGCGACCCCCGGGTTCCGGAGGAAAAAGTTGGCAATTTTCCACAGTAAAGCGGCGGTGGATCACGCTCTCTCACACCTCAGGATACTTGGGGAACAAGTCTCCCCCTTTCTCCCTCCTTCCTCCGCCCCCTTCTTATTTTTTCCTGAGTCCATAAAGTGCCTCCAGCAAGCAGCCTGCCGAAAATGTAGTGGGATCGATGGCAGCAGCAGCAGCGGGAGCAGACGGTAAAAGCGGGGCCTCTCTGCGACCGTGCCGCCGTTTGCCATCGCCCTTCGAGGGTAGAGCGAGGCAGAGTCGGACTCTTCTTACTGGTCGTCAACCTCCCCCCGCTGCCCCCACTGAGAAACGAAACCCCCAAATTCCGATGTCGTGTTTTTCGTGGCAGACTCCACCCGGGATGTCTGGGGGACCCTCTTTACACGCCGGCTTCTCAACCTGCCCAGGGAAGTGTGGATTCACTATCGGGGCCTATCGCCGATCTATCGGCGATATATAGCCGATTCCAGGTCGTTGTGTCCCTCTTATGCCATTCCCCCCTATCGTTGCCCCTCATTCTCCCACTCTTCGGCTCGCCGAGGACGAACGCCCCCCCTCGAACGGGGCTGCGACGAGGATACATCCGTTCCAGAGCGTCCCAGAACGCTCTCAGAGCTTCCCGGACCGCTCGGAGAAGGCCGCGGCGCCCAACATCCTCCAGAGCCGCAGGATCTCAGTGACTCTCGACATATCCTCGTCCGAGTTTATCCTCGTCCTGGCTTCGTCTCACCCGCCCGCTGACATCCCTGACATCCGACGACGACGACGACGGCGTCGTCGTCGTCGTCGACGCCGACGACGGCCGCCTCGTCCTCGTCCTGGTCCTCGTGCTCGTCGTCGTCGTCGTCGTCGTCGTCGTCGTCGTCGTCGTCGTCCTCGTCGTCGTCGTCCTCGTCGTCGTCGTCGTCGTCGTCGTCGTCGTCGTCGTCGTCGTCCCATTCCGCTGCCCCCTCGCGCCCGCCGAGGACGAACGCCCTCTCCGCCTCGCAGTTCCGCGCCTCCTGGAGCGACCCGGCCCGCGCCCAGGCTCCCCCTCCGCAGCCCTCCGCCGGCGGCTGGCGAGGGGGTGCGGGGCCGGGGGGCCCCCCAGGAGGTTCTCTCGTGGGCTTCTGCTTTTTTCGTCCCCCAGGGGGGGCCCCCGCTCCCTAAGGACTCAGAGTGTGGGTGTGCGTTGGCCGTCGGAGGTTCTCTCGACGCGGGGACGCTTGCCAGCAGCTTCGCCTCGCCGGGAGCCCTCTGGGGATACCCGGATCGGCCCGAGCGACAGCAGGAGGCCCGACTTGTGGGCGGAAAGCCAGGCTCCAGCCACGCGCAGATGGGGGTCATGGGGGAGGGGAGAAGGCTTCTTGGAAGGAGGCTGCTTCTTAGAAGGGGCGGGCATTCTCTTCTAAAGTCTACAGATGTAAGGCCGGCGACTTCTAAGAAGCAGCCTCCTTCTAAAAAGCCTTCCCGCCTTTTCCACCCCCCAGTGCGCGCCGCCAAGTAGGGGAGGGGGACCCCACGCACTCGCACAGAGGATCGAAAGGACGAAAAGGGGAGGCGGGTGAGCGGCCGGGCCGCTCAACCGATGCAGTGGTACCTACCGGAGACGTGGTACCTTGCGGGCCTTCCCCTCCTCCTCCTAGGAGGGACAACAAACACAGACACAATTCATCGTCGAGAAGAGATGGGGAATCCTGGATCTGTGTGTATCTATGTATGTGTCTCTGGGCCCCTTCATCCTCGTCCTCCTCCCCCGCGCCCTTGGGCCTGTCTGTTCCTGTTTGCCGCAGGGCAGGGGGGCAGGCTCTGTCCGCCCCGGCTGGCGCCCGCGACAGGCGGCAGAGCATTTCTTTTTGGCGTGCCAGCGTATCCTCGATTGGAGGCTCGTCCCCGATGTGGCTCACTCCTCGTCGTCCTCCTCCTCCTCCACCCCCTCCTCCTCCACCCCCTCCTCCTCCCTCCCTCCTCCTCCTCCTCCTCCTCGTCCTCGTCCTCGTCCTCCTCCTCCTCCTCCTCGTCCTCCTGCTCCTCCTTCGAGCTTCGAGCTGCTGGATAATTTTAGCTGTCAGCAGGGCCAACATGGGGCTAGATCTAGTGGTGTTCGGCCTCTTGAGAGCCTGCTGGCGGCCTCGGGGGCAGTCTTGGGGGGGAAGGGTCCGACCTGTCAGTTTGAGTTCCCTCTCTTGGGTGGGGCCGTCTTGGGGGCCTCTTGGACCCTCTCGGGGACATCGGGGGCCTTGCCAGGGCGATCTTGAGGGCCTTATGGGTCGTCTTGGACGTTCTGCAGAGCGAGCATGTGAGCATACGAGCATTATATAACCACTCGCACATGGGTTTCGGTCTCTTGGGCCTGCCCCCCAGGCCTCCAAGCCAGTCCAAGATACCTCCGAGAGTGCCCTGGCACCGACCAGTGGGACCATCTCAGGGTACGGTGGAATTGGAGGCCCCCCAACCACGCTCCCGAGGCCTCCCGAAGATTCGCGCTGCGATCTTCTGTCGTGCCAGACAATTCCGCGACTCCGTGTTCCCAGCGCCGATCCAAGAAGTCTGCGCGGGCTTCCGAAAGGCTGCCTATGCTCGTGCAGTTTTCCTTCTCGGACTGTCTCGACTGCATCGCGGTGAGGCCCCGCCGTGTGCAGCAGTCGCCCCTCCCGCGCAAGCGCTCAGGCGGTCCCCGTGGCCGGCGGCGGGGAGGACGAGGCCCTGACGGCGAAGGACCCGCGAGCTGCGCGCGGCGAGCGGGTTGGCCGGCAAGCGGCTCTCTCTGGATCGAGCGGCGATCGGCGACAGACATCGCAGGCGGTTTCCTCACTCCTCCTTCTTCCTCTCTCCTTATTGTCTCTCCTTTCCTCCCCTCCTCCTCCTCTTCCTCTTCCTCCTCCTCTTCCTCCTCCTCGTCCCCCGCCTGGTACATGCCTGTTCCTTCAGACTCCTCCCTGTCGCCCTGTCGCATCCCTAGGGGTGTCGGTAGGGCGGGCCAGGCCGTTCGCCCGATACTATTCTCACCGTTTCTGATTCCAGACCCCGAAATTTGCAACATCTTCAAGGGCGGAACACTCAGGCTTCGGCCGCGCTTCCGACTCGCAACGGCGCTCTCGCCTCAGCGCTGGCCACACTGCTGGTTTAGAGGATGATGTGCTCGGCAAAGCGCTGGCCTCTGTTCCTGCCCCAGAACGCCACCCCTGGCTCAGCCTGGTTCTCTCTCGCCTCAGCGCCTGGCCACGTGCTGGCGATCTTCTCGGCCCAGTCACGTAATTACCCTTGGCGGCGCGCGCACGGGGGCAGAGGGTGAGGGCGGAAGGCTTCTTAGAAGGAGGCTGCTTCTGAGAAGGCTCTGGTCGGTTTCGGGCCCGCGCCTTCTAAGAAGCAGCCTCCTGAGAAGCCCTCGCCCCTGCCCCCTACCCCCCCTTCTGCGCGCCGCCAATCCCTTGCCCGTCATCATGCCGCGCTCACCTCAGGTCCCTGTCTTCCTGTTCAAAGGGCCACACGCACCCCCGCGCCCTCCGCGAGGGCGGGGGGGGGTCGTCCTCGAGAGGGCCACCCCAGGCCCCCGCCCCCTCCCGAGACATCCGAGTCCTGTGCTCTTCCAGTTCTCTAGGTCTCCCAGACGGGGCCCGAGTAGGGTCGGACCGAGGTATAAGATCGAGGTCGGTTCGGGGAGGGCGCCCTGATGTTCTTCATGCTTGTTGGATGTTTTTGTGCATCTTGGGAGCGGGCGCCCGCGAGTGGTCTCATGGTTTGGGGTGTTTTGGCCAGCGGAGGGTTTCAAGTTCTTCAAGGATGTTGTTCTTCTGTCCTAGGTCTGATCATAGATGGGGTCGGAGGATCGCACCGCATCGCCGATGCATCGGCGATGCGGCTCGGTGTGGAGCCCGATTTTCTCCACGCCGACGTTGCCGATGCGTTGCCAATGCAACGCCGATGCATCGCCGATGCAACGCCGATGCATCGCCGATGCATCGGTTTGCTGCGGCGCGATCCTCCGACCCCAACTACCCGGACCCCATCTGGGAGGCCTCCAAGTACGGGATCCTGGGGATCCCGAACTTCTCCTCGAAACTTTCGGAGCTCCGCGCAGATCTCTAAACGTTGATGCCTGTGTAGTTGTTCTTCGCCTCTCCCCGCAGGGCCGGCTTTTTCGTCCCGACTTGTTGCATGGCGGCCCTGGGCCCCCCGGCGGCCTGGCGGAAAGACCGCGATGTGTCGCCCAAGCTACGCGTTCTGCCTGAGACGCCCTTGCAGAATGGAGATGATGGCCTCCAGGACGGCCAAAATTGCCCAAGGTGGCTCTGAAAACAGCCCCAAGACGCCTCCAAGACGGCCAAGATGGCCCCAATACGGCCCAAGATGCCCTCCAGACGGCCCAAGAGGCCCCTCAGTCGCCCCAAGAGGGCTCCAAGATGAATTCCATGGTTTTTTTCAATCATTTTATTTTTTTCAATCATTTTAGTGATCTCGCCTTGTCGATCGCTCCAGGACGGCCCGAGAGGCACCCAAGAGGTGGCCCAGGGGGCCCCAAGATGGCCCAAGAGGCTCCCACAACGGCTCCAAGCTGGCCCCGCAGACCTCCAAGAGGGCTCAGAAGCGCCCCAAGAGTGGCCCACGACCGCCCAGAGTGGCGGCCTTCCTCGGCGCTGGACATCCGGGACTTGCGCGCCGCCGGTGCCCCCTCTCGAACGGGGCTACGGCGAGGATGCATCCGTTCCAGAGCGTTCCAGAGCGCTCTCAGAGCGTTCCAGAACGCTCCGAGAAGGCCGCGACGCCCGAGGCATCCTCTAGTGCCACCGTATCTCAGAGAGTCTTGTCTTGTCTCTGTCTTAGAAATCCCAGGACTCGCTAGGGACTGGTTTTCCCCAAATCCACGAAAACCCTTCCAAGACCCTTCCGAAACCTCCCGAAAACCCCCCCGGAACCCTCCCCGGAGGGTTTTCGGAGGGTCCCGGGAGGGTTTCGGCGGTTTTGAAAAGAGACCCGTCCCTGGCGAACCCTGGACTGTCTACTCCAGATTTCGTAATAAAAGGGAGGGGGTCTGGACCCTCCAAGACAAGCCATTTCAGACCTCCCCCGTGGGAGAACCCTCCAAAACATCGCCCCCAGACCCCCCTGGTCCTCCAAGATAGCCTGGAAGAGACCCCCCCCGAAATGAGACCCCCCTCCCTTTGTTACGAAATCTGGAGTACTCTCACCCCCCAGGACTGGCACGACGTGGGGCGCTGGCACAGCGCCGTGCTGCCCACGCTCGTGGCGCTGCGCTTCGTGATGCGCTCGCGCCCGGGCTGCGGCGCCGCCCTCTGCGGGGTGCGCCCCTTGGGGAGGGCCGGGCGGGGCCCGTCCCGGACGGCGGCGAGGACGGTGTCGACGACACACCATAGCTGGGTCTGAACAACTATTCGTACTCTGCTAATTTTTTAAGAGATGACGATGGGTTCCTTGATGTAACTCGAGCTGCAGATGAGCTACAGAGCTGTTTGGCACAGCAATCGGAAGAAAATCATCAGACGCGCTAGTCTCGAGTATCTAGATGCCCGAACTCGGTCTCCTGCCAGAGCTGTATCCGAAAAACTATTCGTACTCTGCTAAATTGTTCCTTTTTTTCCCTCTCCACCCTTCCCCCGGACCCCGTCCCCGGGGCCCGCCGCTGGCGCCAGGCATGTCATGGCGCCAACATCGCAGAGCGGCTTTCGCTCGGAAAACGATAGCGTGGGCCCAGAGTGTCCTGGAGGATTTCGTTCCAGATTTCGAGGTGAGCTTCGTGCGGATTCTGTTTGGCCAGGAATGAAGACAAAAACACATCAACGCGAAACCACTTCGTTTTGCGCTCGCCGTTTCGGGGTTTTGCATTGACAGAAATCCATGCAAAAATCCGCTGCAGCACGTCTGCAAGGTCGGTGCAGTGATGGTTTCGACCACACGTAACAGTGGCCTTTCGCCGGAGTGACCTTTGGTGCGGGCCCAGTGGGGTCCCCCGATTGCTGGACGCGAAGCGGTAGCAGCGGCCTGCGCGTCCGGTTTTGGCCACCCCGCGTTCCCCGTTAGTCGTGCACTGAAGGTCACCGGTGCGTGTAGCTGATACTTGTGCGGGTGACCGTTTCCTGTGGCTTTCCCCTGGACTGCGGGTTCGGCTAGTGCACGTTTGCACGCAAGGTGGCCAATTCGTTGGTGTCGTAACCCGTGGCTGTGTCCTGCTGCGCAGCGCGTGTCGGTCTTCTTGCTCGCTTCTCACTTGCTTTCCTTTGCCCGCCCTCTTTGCGCCGACTCCAGGGTTCTCTCGGGTTGGTTTGTGACTTCGCCGCGCAGCCTCGCAGGCTGGCTAATTCGGTCTGCGCGTGTCCCAGCTTCCTTTGCTCTCCGGCGGTTAGAGGCATTAGCGCGTGTGTGCGCGTGTGCGTGTGCGTGTGCGTGTGCGTGTGCGTGTGCGTGTGCGTGTGCGTGTGCGTGTGCGTGTGCGCGCGCGCGTGTGTGTGTGTGTGTGTGTGTGTGTGTGTGTGTGTGTGTGTGTGTGTGGGGTGAACTGCCGATGCAACCCATCGGGGCGCAGGCGAGCAACCTTAGTTTTAGATGCAGATGTTGGCATACACGAGACTTCACTGGCGCTTCACTTCACGCGACCTGGTCCTTCAATTCTTTACGCTTCGCGTATCCCCACCAGCCCATCTCACAGCAGCAACTCTCGCGAAGCATGCCGACAGTCGTGTTTTTCAGGCGTGTGTCCGCTTGGCCCCGCATATCTCCCCTGTTCCTCCTTCCTCCCGCCTCCTTGTACATCCTCCTTGTGGGGGGAGCGGGAGAAGGACGAGGCGAAGGAGGAGGGAGAGAAAGCGCTCCTCGTGGTTTGAGTCGTTTGGGGTTTCTCGTCCTGGTCTGAGTCGTTCGGGCCCTTCTTCCTGGTGTGAGTCGTTCGGGCTCTTCGTGGTGTGAGTCGTTCGGGCTCTTCGTCCTGGTGTGAGTCGTTCGGGCTTCTCGTGGTGTGAGTTGTTCGGGCCCGTCGTCCTGGTGTGAGTCGTTCGGGCCCCTCCTCCTGGTGTGACTCGTTCGGGCTCCTCGTGGTGTGAGTCGTTCGGGGCCCGCGTCGTGGTGTGAGTCTTCGGGCTCCTCGTGGTGTGAGTTGTTCGGGCGCCTCGTCCTGGTGTGAGTCGTTCGGGCCCCTCCTTGTGGTGTGAGTCGTTCGGCCTCTTCGTGGTGTGAGTCGTTCGGGCCCCTCGTCCTGATGTGAGTCGTTCGGGCTCCTCGTGGGGCCCCTTGGGGGCCTCTTGGAGCCTCGTGTGGCCTCTTGGGGGCCTCTTGGGGGCCTCTTGGGGGTATCTTGGGGGCCTCATGGAGGCCTCGTGGTGCCTCCTGGGGACCTCTGTGGTGGGGACCTCTTGGGGCCATCTGGTGGACCTCTGGGGGCCCTCGCTGTATGAGGGCCGATCTGGTCGTTCGAGGCCCGCGTCGTGGTGTGAGTCGTTCGGGCTCCTCGTGGTGTGAGTCGGTCGGGCGCCTCGTCCTGGTATGAGTCGTTCGGGCCCCTCCTTGTGGTGTGAGTCGTTCGGGCTCTTCGTGGTGTGAGTCGTTCGGGCCCCTCGTCCTGGTGTGAGTCGTTCGGGCTCCTCGTGGGGCCTCTTGGGGGCCTCTTGGGGGCCTCTTGGGGCCTCTTGGGGGCCTCTTGGGGGCCTCTTGGGGGCCTCTTGGGAGCCTCTTGGGGGCTCTGGGGGCCTCGTGGGTGCCTCCTGGGGGCCTGTTAAGAGCCTCTGGGGGCCTCTTGGGAGCCTCTTGAGGGCCTCTTGGAGGCCTCTTGGGAGCCTTCTGGGGGCATCTTGGGGCCT